TTTTATCTACTAGAGGGGGTTCTGACAATTGCTTGATTGCATCATCCAGTGATTCTGACAACATATCGGCTCCTGATGGACATTCTCTGCAAAATAAAATAAATTGATTAAAAACAGAGATAATATGTTCAAATCTTCATGCATAGTACATGACACCACTCCATGGGCTCATCTGTGACGCCTTCAATTAAATAATGTTGTAATTTCACAACTTTAACAAAATGATTTTACTCATTTTCATGTGTTTTATATAATTTTTTGTTAATTTTGGACCAAATGGGCATAATTTAACATTTATTACATTTGGTGTGTTTATTTTGTGAAAACTGATAAAATTGGACTTTTGTGTTTGGAAAGTCAAAATAATAAATCTTTCGCAGAATTAGAGAGAGAGTTTTCTTCGTAGCGAGACTCATTTTGTTCATTTTTTTTTGTGAGAAAACTCATCTCACTGCCCCTCAGAGCACCATTGGTGCAATGTAGTGAACGCCGTGATTATATTGTTGATGCGTATTTGAAAATTCTATAGGTCTATGCACAGCTAATGAAGCATAATTCTAGCACAGGTTGACAAGATAATATGCAGGTAACAAAACAACTAAGATGCTTACTTCAAGTTTTTGCTTAAAATTACGTTATATCTGCCAGCTAATGGTCGGTACTTTTCTGGGATTGAGAACCAAGTCTTCCGGCCCATAACAACAGCATTTTGTTTTCCATCTTCCTTAGTTTCCGATGTCACTTTGGTGAAAAAACTCATTTCTTTACTGAAATAAAAACAAACTAGTACTGTAAAATACTTTATTTTAGCTGGAATTAATTAATTTTCGCTGGGTCTTTTGTGTGGAATATAGTTTCACTGATTTTTGAATCAGTTGAATGTGAAATATAGGAAAAAAGGTATATTCACTGGATTTTATTTTCACTGAATCATTCCTTCAGCCAAAATAGTGAAAATTAATTCCAAGCGAAAATAAAGTATTTTACAGTACGTGGCAAAATTTCACCTTTTTACTGTATTATTACTGTGATGATTTTGAATCCAGTCAACATAAAACATGTAATGAACAGTTCAGTCTGATCATATGATAACTTAACTCCTAAACTGGTAATCAGTTAACTTTGCCTTTTCATAAAATTTTCCACAATTTTTAAAGTTAGTATCATTGGCATCAATGATTAGGGTACAAGTACGTTTAGACCTGATTGTTTTTGTTCAAATTTCTCTTAATTTCGCCCTAGAACTTGAACACTTGTCTGTAGAGTTCTGAAACTTGTCAAGTACATTAGGGACTATGTGAACTGGTGCGCCAAATTTTGATTGGTCGAATGGTTTGGCAGCCATTTTTTGATTCAAGTTAAACAGGAAGTGGCAATTTTTAACCCCCTTTGAAGGCCTAGGCATTCTGAATTTGTTATAGTAGCACTATTGATATATGGTCTATCTATTTTATGAATAAAAATGTTAGTGCTCACATGACTTTTTCTGCAAAATAGCAAAAAATCTTTTAAAAATCTTCTTCTGAACCACTGAACACATTGATCTGTAATTGATTTATTAGCATCTATATATGCTTATTAGAGAACGAGAAACTCATTGTGATTGGCCTTGTGGTTTGTCTGTTATCTGTGATTTCTTCTAAACAGGAAGTAGTTTTTTTACTGAAGCTTCATATATCCGACTATTTTAAAATTTGCCATGTTGCATCTCTATACGAAACTCTTCTAGACAGTAAACAATAATTTGACTCATTCACATGATTTGGCTGTTATCTTGGATTTTCGCAGAAAATTGGCACATCTGGTGTTCGACTGTCTTGTACAAATACCATAAATAATATTCGAGTTCAAGAAGTCTGGAATGCGCTGTGTCCTACCCCATTTATTTTATAGTTCTTTAGCGAAATTTCTATTTTATAGCGGAACAGACGTACACGCAATCATGAGTGGTGGTGCTGTTAAATATTGATAACTTACGGCTTTCTCTATTTATCTTGCACATCAAATCGGGGAAGAAATTAAATACAGAAATAACGGCACAGTATTCATTTTGTGTGTATATTTATTATGAATATTATCATCAATTATTATTTTACAGATAGCTAGTTACCCATGGAACCAAGGGCATGTTTGTTTATATTATTCCATAAATCTTTCAAAACTAAATGTAACTGATCCAACACTTTTGCCCATCGACCTTGGTTTCATCACAGTTGTTTTTCAACCACAACAATTGCCAATTTTACATATCTATTAATTTTTCACACCCCTAAAAATCGTGCTGTCAGCCGTTGCTATAAACAAACAATACTGTGATCATAAGACTTAAAAAAATAAACTACACAAAATAATTATTTTCATAAATACTGTAAAATAAATTTCACTGATTTACCATTTCAGGCATTTTCAGTGGGTTTTAAATTCACGGTTTCGTCATTTAGATAATGTGTTCTATGTTAAATTTTACATATTCACTGGGTTTTAATTTAGCGCATTTTCCAGTCAGCGAAATAAGCTAAATTAAAACCCAGTGAATAATTACCCCTTTACAGTAATTAACTTTTTAAAAGACAGAAACGTGAGTACCAGTGATAAAGTAAATTATACTCTATATCCACTATGAACATTATCAACCAAATAAATCACTTTTGTAGATCGGTAATGACACAAGTCATGAACATTCATAAATCGTTGATTACAAATATGTCATCCTATGTTTCAGTTGGATGCAAGAATATATTTTCTTAGCCAATTAAAATTGAAATAGAAAACTGGTTTGAAGGAGTTTGACTGACAGACAAATCTATTTTTACATCCATGCATTAATTAAATAACATAAAACCCAGTACTCAATAGATAAACTAATTTTATTTCACTTTTACAAAGAATCTATTAATCTTCATTTTATTCAGTATTATTGTGAAGTGACACTATTAAGATAGCATGGGGAAAAGGGTTTCTTTTGCTCCCCTTACCCTAACTAACCATAGCCCTACTTCCCAGCACTCCCCAATTTAATTGTACCGGTATATTTCCCTTCTAAGGACACCTTTAGTTATCTGGAGGGGGCATTTACAATTGAATTAGAGGTGGGGTGCAAAAGGAACTCTTTCCTAGCGGGAATCTATAAAACATGAACCCGAAAAATATCAACAAATTGTATTTTGTAGTTTTAAAATACAGTAATCTAAGAGCAATGCGAACAGAGGCATTTACTGACCTACATGTATGTAAAGGAATTTGTTGAAGAAAAATTATTGTGAAACAGATTGTTATTATATACTTGACAAATATAATATACAATATTTTTCACAATAATTTTTCAGTCCTTGCATGGATTGATTCCAAAAATCGATATTTATTCCATGAATAATATATCCGATTAAAATATGAATAACAAAATGTTTCTGTTTTAAATATTTGTGTCTTTAAATTTATTATCTCTTAAAGATATGGAATCTTCATGTGCTATAAAGATAGGGGTTAACACAGATTGTGATAGATGAAAAGTAAACAGATAAGAGCTAGGTTATTATATTATTGTATTCAAAAAGGAACAGACTGAGACAAAAAAAACACACACCTAGTTTTGCATATCTATAAATTTGTCTTAGAATCTTGCAATTGATGCAACTTGAGATCCTCATTGGGAGAGAGTTCCTTAAGCTCCCCCCTCACCTCAAACCTGAACCCTAACCCCTAACACTCCAGCCTCCAGTGTAATTCAATATGCCCCTCCAAATAACCAAATAAGGGTATACACAATTAAAATGTGAGAGGGGCACTAGAAGAGCTGGGTGGGTATTAGAGTGATGAGGCTCAAAGAACTCATACCGTAAAAAACTATTTTCTTGGCCCTTAATTCAATATATATTTATAAATGGTTGATACGGCAAGATATTAAGTCAAGACTCCAGAGTCAAAGTTCAATCATATCTCGGAAACATGGAAACAATCGGTGAATGATGGCGACTTTTTACAAACGCTCACTGAAACTTTAATTACTTTAGCATGCTCAAACTTCATTGTACTTTAATCTTAAATCCCCCAAAAGATATGATTTCAATAAAAGAGTTACAATATAATCGGGGAGATTAAATGTCAATAATTGTTCAATGAAAATCAACTCACCGTAGTCGCCATGGAAGGTCCCCGTTCTTTCCGATCCCCATGTTGTTACATGCAGCGGCAACAAGACTAATTTTCTTCATCGTGAAATAGCGAGGTAGTAACCGAACAAGATAATTCCCCGATTCGACCGTAACACACCGGTCTTATTTTGTGTATCACTTGAATAAGGCGGTTAAATACTGCGCATGTCGGCGACCTTTGACCTGAACCTTTGACATGTAACAAAGTAAGATCGGGGACGGGCCAGTAGCAAAATCGTAAGGGCCGCTTCAGTTTTGTTTACTTTTAATCGTAAAATATATTCTATCCGTGATACTAATACCATTTTGAACTACTACTATTTTATCTATTAAAAGAATTTTGTCTTATATTTCGAGTACAAACTATTGACATCATAAACTTTTGAGAAGCAGTTTCGCTGGATTATTGGTTTTTAAATCTACCACCCGACTTTCTGAGAGTCAAACGCTAACTATATTTTTATTTATTTGTGTAAATATGTCACTAATATGCTTCTGTATGATATTTATAAGTCAATGATAGTCAAAACTCAGGCTCAAGACGCCGTTCCTAGAAGTTGCGCCATCTAGTGACAAAACTCTTCGTCGACTTCGTTTTAATTTGTCGCCGTTCAATAATCCAGTTTTTAGAGATTTTTGATATTCTTAATGACGGACAATTTCACAACCAAGCGCATACAGAGTAATTTGAACGCATTCTCGCATGTTTTTTGTCGCTAGATGGCGCTAATCATTTGAATGGAGCATTTGTCATAAGCATTTTTAGTTGTTTTACGTTGTTTTTCTCCTTCCCAGAGTTCCTTGCGTTTAGAACATCAAAAGAATCTCTGCCACCACACACCCAATCAAGGACAGTAGGCAACAACTATTGAGTCAGAGATTTTAATTCAATATATCATTCAGAGTTCAGAGTTCAGAGTTCAGAGTTAATGGCGAGATGCTGAATTGTTCGAGTTACGAAAACATCGAGTTACGCCCACTTTTGCGAAACCACGCCCTCTTTTGTGAAACCACGCCCAAATTGTAACTCGAGTTACGGGCAAACTATATTTTTATTTTCGTTAAACGTCAACATTTAGTAACCCGAACATTAATTCAAAGTTGACGGAACTTCGAGTTACGGGTAACATAGATGTTTTGTTTTGTTTAACGTTTAAATTTGGTAACTCGAATTTTCGTTATCTGTTAACCGAACTTCGAATAGCGGAAAATATACAACGTTAAACGAAACAAACATTATATGTAAGATGTACGGTAACAATACGCTAATGATTTATTATCATATATTCGTATTGCAATAAAGTCAGAATGAATAGATGACATTGTAAATCAAAAAGTGAACATGTTTGTATCTTACGCGAAAACAGTGTTTTACACGTAGTATACGTCCACGCGGCGTACGTAAAGAACGTATTTAAAAGTAATGACATCAGCGTATATTTAAGTGACGTTACATGTTCAAGTTCGCGTGAAACGACTACAAATGCTTCAATCTCCCACCAAAACATTGACATGCAGGTGTTCGATTTTCAAACCCTGTGAAAGCGTACGCATTGTTTAAAGATTCTAGCTGTTTTCAAACTGAAAAGGTATTTAGTGCGCCATTTCACTACAATAACATTACTTTACACAACGTAGTCCGCGATAAAAATTTTCGTTTACATTTTTTTTACAGAAGTCAGACAATTAATGAAATAGTTCAGTTGTAATATATATATATTTTCCCACTTTTCTTTGCTCGGTTTTAGGTGGAATAACTGCGGGAAAATGACCGTGCGTAGTGAGGTGATTGGCCAAAAAATTTAAGCGCAATGATTTTCACAAGCGCACGCCTAATTTCCTCATTTGGAAGTGTTTCACTTCCGGGTCAATATAAATAAAGACGCATCAGAATGGACCAGTCGTGGTGATTTCGCGTCTGACCACGATTTAAGAAAAATAGATATAAAATTGCCATGGCCTGGCCAGTCTAGGCTGCCTATGTCAGAGGTGCTATTGCGTAAAGCGCAAAAACATATGGTTTAGTATGACAAAAGACATTACAGTACAGGACCGTTTGTTTTCTCCCATGACACACAATATATGTTTGCTTTTGAAGCAATGCATCTTCATTTCATGTATCCAGATGTTATATCCAGTCAACGGGCATTGAGATTTCCTCCCCAAAGTGCACTCTGGTGTCACAGGCGAAGGGGAAAACCAAATCTTGTGTGCTGGTGGGCATGGCGACTTTGACATTGCCCCATTTTCTGGTAGCAATCAATTCTTTGTCCTTATGCCCATGACCACTTTCAAGTTGAGCAGACCATTTCAAAATATGGAAATTATAATTATGTTAGAACTTCTCTGTTTGACAGCAGATACTACTCAAAACACTAATTACAGTAAAATATTGAGTGTGCACCTTAACCACTTATGTGGTATGAAACATACATGTATTGGCAACAATTTGTGATGGGTGACATTTTATAATTAGCAAACATTTTCAAAATATGGAAATCATAATTATGGTAGAACTTCCCTATTTTTTAGCAGACACTCATTATTTACTGTGACAATATTGAGTGTGCACCTAAACTACTATATGTGGTATGAAACATACATGGACTACAATTTGCGATAGGTGACATTTAATAATTAGCAGACAATTTTAAAATATGAAAATCATAATTCTGGTAGAATTGCCCTGTTTGCTAGCAGACACTAATTAAGTCACTAGTTACAGTAAAATATTGAGTGTGCACGTTAACCATTTATGTGGTATGAAACATACATGACATAGTTTCAACCACACGGCCATGTTGCATGCCCCTTGCGCGACCCCACCAACTATATGATCGTTCTGTTCATATACTAGGATTTACTACCCCTATTATCATTATATTGTCACGTGATTTTTCCACCTTATTGGTAATGCCTTGAGTATATCTATTGAAATATGTTTATACCAATTCGCATATATCCAAACGACCACAATTGAAAGTAATATGTGTGTAGGCACGTATTAAAGAATTTAGCACAATAATTTGTACTATAATCTGTGCTATATAATATACAATATCATTAAAATTATAGTATTTCAAATTATTTAGATCGACATATTCCAAGTAGTGTGTTTTTGCTGTGTGTCACCATTATCTTCGTGTTGACATATAGGCAGATTAATATGATCCGACAGCATCAAGTAGCTATTTTTATTTCTACCGGTATGTGTTCGGATTTACGACTCTGGCCATACGCTTCGCCATACACGTGTGCAAGCGAACCGTGTGCCGTTAGAATTCGTCTTCCCACTGTCACCGAGAGACTTGTCACCATACAGACACTAGCCATGAAGACAATCATTCCAATTGCTGCTGTCTGTAACGACATGGGAATTGGAGTAAACGGGATGTTGCCATGGGATCTACCGTAAGTAAGCACAGTATAATTATAATATACATGAGCCTTCTTTTTCAGTATATTCTAGCCGCATATATTTGATGCTAACTTGTATCGGGTGGGTTTAGATTCTATCCCCCCCGGAAAGAACTCTTGAACAACTCACTGTGAGTTATTTTCAAACGGAGACTTTCTCCAGCATGGCTGTGCCCATATCGAGGAAAGGTTCAGGGTTAGACTTGCTATCACTCGAATAATAAACAACGTTGCTGCTATTATGCCACGTGTCAAGGTTAGTCTATGTTCTGTTCGGAAAACGATTTATTTCCCTGAACTGCGCTCGGAATCAAGTAGTCATCGTAAGTCGACACATTTTAGCTTCAACACGACTTAACACATGTAGCAGGGATCAGAACCGTAACGACGCCAAGCACATATATGTAATGGAAGTATATTTGATTGAAGGAGAATGTTTCGAAAAAAATATATTGTTCTAATTCACTGAAGCCATGTGTATATAATTACTGTAAAACATGTTGAAAAAGCGACATGCAATTTTAGCGAATTGTGGTAAAATGACGTAATAGCGAAATGTTGATTTAGCGAATCTCCCAGTTTTCATTGTTGATTTTCTGTTTTTACAATACTAGTCTGTCGTGTGCCAAAACTAATGCGAAGTTATCACTTCCATAAAAACAAAGAAAAACTGTCAAGTGTAATTAGGAAGTGCCGCAGATTTTTATGTTCCGGATTACTGTATACAAATTACCGAGCCTTGGCCATTTTGAATTTATAATATAGTCATTAGCGACATCTTGAATTAGCGAATCAGTTCTCTCGCTAAATTCGCTAAAAAGACATGCTTAGTTATCGCCAAAAATGTACTCGCTGTCCAGATCAACTCTTTAAAAATGTTGGAAACAAGCTACACTTTCCACCTTCAAATTTGTCAGAAAAAAAACAAAAAAAAACGTCAGCAGTGTCGACAGTTGGCCAGTTTCACAGGTCACGTGTACTTGACAGTATTACATACTGATGTTGACTTCATTTCAATCCACCTACAGGAAAGAAAGTGACTATTATAATAGAATCACATCTGACACAAAGAAAGGCGGGAAACAGAATGCAGTTGTCATGGGAAGAAAAACGTGGAATTCTCTTCCAGGCAGATTAGATGGCAGATACAATGTAGTATTGAGCAGACATTTGAAGTGAGTGACGAGAATACAAGAATGACGTCTTAGCACTGAACTAGTTATTCCTTGTTCTGTAATAATGGTTACTTTAATAATTTACACGTGTTTCGTAGAACCGACAAACCTTGTTTTGTTTTGTTTTCCTCGTAGAGAACGTCCGACTGGAGTAGATTTGGTGGCAACATCTCTCGTAGATGCCGTCAAGCAATTGTCAGATCCCCCTCTAGCGGACAAAGTTGACAAAGTCTTCATTCTCGGAGGCAGTGGTATTTATAAGGTAAGGTTTTAAAGCGAGGGTGTCGTCACCTGCGCATGCGTCAAGTGGACATAGCGTGTCATTGTTTACAAACAAGCGTCTACCCATGAGCCTTTGCATTATTAGCGTGTGTTGTTATCGTCGCTTGGGACTCAATTCCCGCGCGTGCGCAGGTGACGACCCTCCCTCTTTAAACATATGATCAAGTGTTTCTACCAAGGTTTACTACAGCAGAAGTCAGGTGACATATACAGTAATTTACGGGGCCATCCATATAGTTTCAGGATCGCGTTAATTTGTCTAAGAACATTCCTACTTCCTAAACAATTATTCGTACTTATTTGTATTATTTGTACGTACCAGTTATTCATACTATGCTGATAATAATATAGAGGGCGTAACAACATACACTATCAAACAATCTACTAAAACTACTCATTATTATATTTGACCTTTTTAGGAATCTGTGGAATCCCCGCTCTGTTTTCGTATTTATCTTACAAGAATTATGGCGGATTATGAGTGTGATACGTTTTTTCCAGAATTTAACACAAATTTATTCCACCTTGTCAGGTAAAGTGCGTAATTGTTGTCTGTAGGTTTCACGCATGCGTACAGTAAAGCTTAGAAACCAGATGTTGACATTTAAAGCGGCAGGATAGTCACCTGCGCACGCGCGGGAATTGAGTCTCAAGCAACGATAACAACACAAGCTAAAACGCAAAGGCTCATGGATAAACGCTTGCTTGTAAACAAGGATAGGCTATGGCCATCTGACGCATGCGCAGGTGACGACACCCCGCTTTAAATTAGTACGTGAATTGTTTACTTGATCAAGACTCGACGACGAGGATGGATAATTATATTTAGCTAAAGCATAATACAGGGAGTAGACGATTGGCAGGTTTCAGTGTCATGTGAGTGTACCCTTAGAAATGTACCGTAAAATCATCGTGTGATCGCAATGCATCACGGTTATATGAGGGAACGTTCTAGTTATAATCACAGTAGTCCTGATACCAAACCACTGTTCAATCAGGTACTCACTTTCCATTACCGCCTGGAGTAGCTGTAACAACTATCAGTCGACATGGCACGTGGGAAACACGTGTAACTGCCATCACATAGCATATTCAGATTAGCAGTGTGCTATATTTATCAACCAATCAACATCACGGTCATCAAGTAACGACCAGGGCAAAATATTAGTAACCAGACGTTGGTAGAGTGTGAGTAAATATTTGAACGACTGAGTCGGATACCTACGCTTCCCTTTACCAGAGATGCCATATAATTCTGAAAAACCCCAGAAATTATACACGAAGATGCATGAACATAAACATCACAACTTTGTTTTCCGAGACGTTTATTGAATACTAGTAGCTTCTTAGTAAAACATTTTGTTCACAAATTTTACAGTGACCCGGATGTACCGTGCGAAATCCAAGAAGAGAAAGGAATTCAATATAAGTTCGAAGTTTATGAAAAAAAGGTGTGAACATATTGCCGCAGACCGTGCACCGATGAATCAACCCAGTACTATGTTGGTGGAATATAAAACAATATTAAAAAGGCTTTCCACGCTTTTGGGCGGGAAAGTCATTTGTTATTGTATTGATTTTTCATTTGCTTCGTCCGTTTTTTCCACCGCCCTTTTCCGTGAAGTGGTACTTTTGTTCTAGTGCACACAACTGTTAGCTGTTAGTGAGTTGGTGCCGACCCACGATAACTCGTGCTTACCAAAATGTTAGCATGTCACAGAACTATAATTAATTAATGATACATGACAAAAACCCTTAAAAACCCTCTTTTTATAAAACCAAATTGATTCGAAATTTCATGTTAAGGATCTGCGCTTGCTGATATATTAAAATGAGTGCAAGCGCTGGTGCTAACCATAAAACTAAAGGACTTCCGTTTGCGCCATCTTGCCATAAAAACGCCCGCATGAGGTATAAACAGGAAAGGCAACAAAGCATGATGACGAAATAGTATCTGATTATATATAAACAACTTAGAGAGCCATAGTTGGCTGGATTGAGTTTCGACTTTTACGTTAATGTTATTTACAAGCGTATCAACATGCAAACATTATGGATGTGCGATTGATCGAGACAGGCATATTGTTTCTTTCATTTCTTTTTCTGTCCAATTGTCTAATAAATTCTGTTTTCACTACTGTTCCATGCGTGCAAATTATTTCAAAGTCTGGATGCTGGAGTATGTAATCTTGAGTTCGTAGGGTGGTGGTGGAAAACTATGTGCCCATATATTCACGGGGCTGCACTGACAGAAACACCAAGCAGATTGTTCACAGACTTTCGCGTAATTTGAAATAACATCGTCCGAACAAGGGGCATCGTCGACGTCAAATAGACTCTCGTCACTCACACTGGACTGATCTGAATCTTCGCTAAGTTCACAGTCTACCGTACTTCCCTGATGAACATGAACACGAAAAATCGGGAAAAGTAAGATATGGGCTTATACTCGAGGACAACCTCAGAAAAGATGATTTTGTTTGGGGTTAAACATTGCAACCATATTGTCAACAACGAAAAAATATCCAAATTACATCTTTCGCTCACCACGCCAGGCTCGGAAAAATAATACTTCTTTTTGAAGAAAAAATGCGTCATTGATTTCCACGACACGCTTACAATAAAGAAACAAACATATTCACAAAAACACACACATTTTATTACAATACGATTTACATACCGTCTGAATTTACGGTGTAATAATAGGTAGCGTCTGTGGGGAAACAGTCGAAGGCAAGATCTTTATCATTATCTTCAAGTTCGTTTTGGTATGTTTCGATCGTAGGCCATGCAGTTTTTCAGCACGATTTGACTTGAAACAACTTCCTTTGTCTTTCATTAACCAATCAAAATGCTGTGTCGTATCTGGCATATTTATTCTAAGTATCAAATAATTACACAATCAAACAGACTTATGAGGCGTTGCATACACCCGTACACATCATTTGACGTCCCAGAACAAATTACAGAAAATTGTACAGTGTAGTAAACTCTTTCATTATGATACTTGTCACTGTCAGTTCAGTATGACCAAATGACCCCCCTAGTTTTATGATTATTGGCAATAAACGGTCAAAGCCTTGACTGGATTTAGCACAAATGACAACTCATCAATAAACCTTTATTATATAAGTCGCGCCCTCAAGCGGTGAAATGCATTTGTTACGTCAAAATGGCATTGATGCTGATAGCAATGTCGTTCAAAGTTACAACTATGTTTAGTTGTGGTCGTCTGTTGTTTAGATTACAGTAAATATAAACAATTGAAGCTCAACATCGATGGTGTGAACAATTATTTCACCTATTTACATTACAGAAACATTGTGACATGTATTACAGGTGTATAACAGACATGCGCGTAATATTCAAATATTTTATGTCTACAAACATTGTTCCTCCGAATGACACGTGTACTACAGGAAAACTTTCAAACAATGGTTATGAGTGTCAGCTACAACCAGTTTAGGAGTGTCCTCATTGGTTAGGGCTATACTGTGAGGATAGCTCAGTCCATCCACATCGCAGTCAACACGACAGAGAAACTGCCCACTGTAAGTGTAGCTGAGAATCCTGTGTTTCTCATCAGATATGTAAACCAGTGTGTTATTGCACACTGCAATGCCCAGAGGATAACATAGTCGACCTTCATTGTGATCTTCACAGCCAATGATTCGGACGACCTGGTGATTCGAATTGAAGACCTGAACACGGTGGTTGCAGTAATCAGAAACAAATATGACTCCTTGAGCATCGATATCGATATCGTTTGGCCCCATGAATTGTCCATCGCCACTCCCACTTCCACCAAAACTGTCAACGTGTTCACCATCTTGTGTGTAGATTTCCACAGTATTGGAGCTGAAATTAGCTACATGAACAGCGCCATCTATGGGACTGATGGCAAGACCTCGTGGACTTTTCAGTTCTTTATGACCAAAGCATCGAAGCAAGTCGCCACTGCTTTCCGCCACAACGATTTGGTTGTTACCAGCATCAGTCATGAAATACTCGTTTCCACATGATATCGCTATGTCGAATGGCCGGAAGTTTTGCTTAAATTCTGTGAACGTTATACTTTTACAGGACCTGCCATCTTCAGTAACAATATGTACTCTGCTGTTGCTATTGTCAGCAGTGACGTAACGTCCATCTTTATCAATGGTTATACCATGAGGAAAATTGAACTCGCCCTCCCCACTACCATCTCTGCCATGTGTTTTTATCAGTCCGGTGACTACAATCTCAACTGGTGATCCTGGCATGTCTTGACCATTTATCGTCATGTACACTTCATGGTTCCCAGCAGTTTCACCTCGAATGGAGAGTTTGTGGGCGCCATCACTGCCACTTACAACCTCAAGTTCCGCCCATGATCCATCTGGTTTCAATAGCTTAGCTTCCACTTCTTCTTGTGGAACGACCTGAGTCCCTTCCTTGTCCCTGGTTGTGATGACTAGGTCTATAAACTCCCCTTTGAGTAGCTGTCTGGGAACATTCTCAATTGTGCACTGTGAAATGCAAACGTCTCTCTTAGTTGCCAAGAATCCGAGAATTCCCTGCGCTTTGAATTCCGGAAGAGGTTGAAATGTAACCACTTCATCACTGAAATTGGGTTCCATATCCATGGCAACAACCTCGTCGATGCGAGTCATCACATCCGTTTTTGAAGACATTAGCTGTGCAGCATTGCCATGATGTATCAGTGTGTTCAGGTAGCTTTTTAAACTCGCCAGTCTCCCGTGATGCATTTCGATTTCATCCAGTTCATTCTGTACTGATTGTTCTTTTTCTTTATATTGTGTTTTCAACTGAGCAATCACGTGATCATGTTCCGCATCTACCTTGGCTTTTACTTCGTTCGCTTTTTCTTTCACCTTCTCTTTTTCTTTCTGACACAGTTTTCTCAATGCACTAATTTTGTTTTTCGCTGCAGAGCTGCTTGCTTCCAAAATTTTGAATTTCTGATTCAGGGTCTCAATCTCTATTTTTAACAGTTCTTTCTGTTGCCTGGCAACGTCGCGTATGTCTCGTTGTACGTGCTCGGGAAACCGATGGTTCACAACAGTGCAGTCCGTACATACTGGAACCTTACAAGTGTCGCAATAAAACTTGAGTTTGCTCTCACGGTGAACTTCACAAAAATCTGCCGTCATCAAACTCGGTGAGTCTGTTGGTTTGGATTGGTTGTGGGCTTCTATTGTTATAACCTTGTGTGAACGCAGTGCCTTGAATCGAGTGTGGGTTTCTGTGCACATTGGACACAAATATTGTGGACAGTCCACACAGATATGACTGGCAATATCGGCTTCACATACCTCGCATTCGCCTTCGTCTCGTGTCACCTTTCTTCTCTCGTTGAATATTTTCACGAGTGACATCATTAGTTCGTTTCCTCTCAAATCTCGCAGTTCACGAGTTGTCATTGTCGCGCCAGCCCCTTCTTTGCACGTCGGGCAACTCACCTGAGTACTATCTGTACTGTCTACCAGCGACAATAGGCAAGCCTCGCAGAATGTATGCAGACAAGGCAGTATCTTTGGATCTTTATATTGTTCAAAACAAATCGAACAACTAAAGTAATCTTCGTCAATTAAATCAAGAAATTTGTCTAACTCCTTTCCTGGTCCAGAGGCAGCCATGACTAAAAACGCGACGGGGATTATTTTGGAAAAGTGCGTACCTGGTTACCTGAATACTTCATAAAATCAGAGCCCCTTATGTTTCTGAGTGTATTTACAAATATGGGCACCGTTCGGGTTGGTATGTTATTATTCGAATCTCACAATAGCCTTCTTTGTATATAGCTAGGCGGTCTTTTCAATGGCTTTGGTCATATTGTGCATTGTATATCACCGCATTGTTATCTGGTTGTTGAACCAGTGCCAGCACACACCCTGTTCAAAAGACTGACCGTTTTAGTGAATAGCGGTTCGTACGCGGCTGAGTACAAAGGTCATGTTTTAAAGCAATTGCATAGTGACAACAACAGTACAGTAGCCCGGGTCGCCTGTGTCAATAACGGGATATGTCCACCGTTTGTTTTCACATATCTCTAGTTCCATAGAACCATGCTATAGAATAGCATGATTTACCTGCAATAAAGGGAAGTGTCATAGCACTCAAAT